CATTGATTTTCATACCGTGTATTAAATTTAAGTATGATAACTCATAAACCAAACAAGTTAAATCGATAAAAATTATTATATTTTCCATGAACAATCTATAAATTCAATTATAATTAAATTGGCGTGATTTTCAAGTACATTGGATCGATGTAACAAATTTTTCTTGTTTTTATATATATAGGCAATTGCCGATGTCATCAGAACATGTTTGGGTCCTCAAGCCATGTTGAAGATGCTGATGGATCCAATGGGTGGCATCGTAATGACAAATGATGGAAACGCAATTTTGCGCGAGATCACTGTGCAGCATCCTGCTGGAAAGTCCATGATAGAAATTGCCAGGACTCAGGATGAAGAGGTAGGGGATGGTACCACTTCGGTGATTGTCCTGTCAGGCGAGATCTTGGCTACCGCTGAACCATTCTTGGAACAGAACATGCATCCTACTGTCATCATAAGAGCGTATCGTCAGGCTTTGGAAGATATGGTTACGATTCTCAATGAACAAGTCAGCATCGATTTAGATTGCAACGACAAAAATAAACTGGTCCAAGTGATAAACTCCTGTACAGGTACTAAATTTATCAGACGTTGGTCTGAATTGGCCTGTCAAATCGCTTTGGACGCCGTTCATACCGTAATGCTCGAGGAGAATGGCAGAAGAGAGATCGACATCAAACGTTATGCCAAGGTAGAGAAGATACCCGGTGGTACAATAGAGGACAGTACTGTTCTCAAGGGTGTGATGATCAACAAGGATGTGACACATCCGAAAATGAGACGTTACATCAAAGATCCGAGAATAGTACTGCTGGATTGTCCATTGGAGTATAAGAAGGGCGAATCTCAGACGAATATAGAGATAATGAAGGATGTTGATTTCACAAAGATTTTAGAACTAGAGGAAGAGTATGTGAAGAAGGTATGCGAAGATGTTATTTCAGTGAAACCAGATGTCGTGATAACAGAGAAGGGTGTATCGGATCTTGCTCAGCATTATCTCGTGAAAGCCGGCATATCCGCGATACGCAGGCTACGAAAGAGTGACATTAACAGAATTGCTCGCGCTTGTGGTGCTACCGTCGTCAATCGTACTGAAGAACTCAAGGAAGAGGATGTTGGGACGGGTGCTGGTCTTTTTGAAATCAAGAAACTCGGTGATGATTATTTCTGTTTTATCACAGAATGCAAGGATCCTAAAGCTTGTACTATCGTTCTGAGAGGTGCTAGCAAAGATATCTTGAATGAGACTGAGAGAAATTTGCAGGATGCGCTGCATGTTGCCAGAAATCTTCTTGTCGATCCAAAGCTTGTACCAGGTGCGTAAAATTAGTTATTTTATTTTTTGTCAAAAGGTTTTCACCTTTTACATTTTGTTCCTTTTCCTTTTTTTCCATAGGTGGTGGAGCAGTGGAAATGGCAGTATCCCGGCTTTTAACAGAAAAGGCGGCAGGACTTGCAGGTGTGGAACAATGGCCATACAAGGCGATCGCACAAGCCTTGGAGATCATTCCCAGGACGCTAGCGCAAAATTGTGGCGCAAATACTATCAGGACTTTAACGGCGTTGCGCGCTAAACACGCAACAGAAGGAACTACTTGGGGCATTGATGGAGAAACGGGAAAATTGGTTGACATGAAGGAACGCGGTATATGGGAACCATTGTCTGTAAAATTACAAACATATAAAACAGCGATCGAGACTGCTATCCTGTTATTGAGAATAGACGACATTGTTTCCGGAAGTAAAAAGAAGAAAAATGAGAATGAAACCGGGCAGCCGAGTCAAGTTACGGAGGAGTGTATGAAAGAATAAATATTTTCAATATCTATTGAAGCCTAATTGCTTTGTATTTACTTTAAGATTTAATTATTTTGCACTTTCGCTGTTTGTCAAATTTTTATCTCTATATGCATTTTCAAAAAATAAAGACAAATGTGCCCCGATAATCGTAAAAATCTTTTTATTTACATTACCTCGAAATATATATATATATATATATATAATAGTAAGCAATTATGTCCAACTTTACATAATTGAATACTTTGAATCCGTACACATCAAGTACATTATACAATACTCTTTACAGCATCGCTAAAATTCTGCAAACTTTGCATATCGCACTTTTATATCGTTCCTTGTTGAGTAATTTCGTTTTCTTTTGATTTTTCTGTTTTTATCACTGTAGTCTTCCTCAAGTTTGAATCTATTGTTTCTATTAGTAGAGGCATTGTGATGGAAGGATTCCTTGCATCATGTGATGTTAATGGCTGTATATTAGACATACATGATTTGGAAGTCAAACAATCTTTTCTAATAGGTAATAATACAGCCACAGGTTCTACTATAATCTGCTTATTTAAATATGTGATCTCCTGTAATTTAGTTTACATCATTACACATATATATATGTATATATATCCACCTTTTTATGCCGTTTAACAATTCATACCTCTTTCTGCAGTACACCGACTGATACTCCTAAATGAGTTGCAATTTGGGCAGGTGGAAAAATTGCATGTATGCAATACTGTATATAAGGTATTAATTGTTCACTTAAACATTCTGTGAACTTAATCATGTTTTCCCGTTCCGCGGCAGTAAATGCCTATGACGTATAGATTGATAAAATATATTAGAATTTACTTGTGAATAAAAATTACACGACAATGAAAACTTACTTGCTGTTCTTGCTTGTAAAATACCAACATAGCCCTCGCCACATTATGTAACGACTCTTGTAGCAATTTTGTGCATAAAGTAGAGAGTGCCACTGGTGCACAGAGTCTCAATTCATTGAACGCAGCTATTATCCCGTTGCAATATTCGGCCAGAGGATAAAATTCTACCAGTTGTTCAGGCGGATTTTCCTATGAAACAGTTTATAATAGTAAATTAATGTATAAAAACTTGAAAAGATATAATTTTATACTTACAGAATTAATACAAGGCTCTGTTTTTACATCAAGTCGTTGCGTTTTGTTAATCAATGTAAATGTTTCCATATCTTTTTCAAACTTTCGAGTTGTTCTACGAACGTTCTGTTCAAACCTTTCACTGATAACTCGTACAAATATATCCGACATTCGACCAGTGAAATCGACGCCCACTCGACCAAATGATAATCCAAAGTATGTACACTGACCCAAAATGGTATCTATAGATGTTACACCTGGTAAGTCTTGCTCTAGCGTAGCAAGAAATTGCGTTATCTAAAAAGAAAAAACAAACTTTAATCACATTTCCATTTACGTTATATCTGTGTGTGCATTGTCTGTTTACAAATCTACCTTTTCCTCCAACCAATGATAAAATATCGCAGATTCATTTAACGTCAAGTCGCGGCCGGGAATTACTAATTCATCGTCGTTAAACATAGCTTTGTACTGAGTTATTATATTGAATAAATGTATCCTGGATAATTCTATTGTTTTAGCCATGTGAAGGTTAGCTGCAACACATGTAAAATGTAATTTTCTTATCGGTTTGATCAATTTATCTTTTGTATTGTATTGTAATTTAAATAAAAAACCCTCTTACGATCTTCCTTCGGTATTGCATTCAGCAAGCCTTGAAGCCAGCTATCTCTCGCTTGAAGGAATTTTATACGAAGTTCTGATTCTGTAAATGCATCCATAGACCGCAACAATCCGACAAGTTGAAGACATCTCGGAAGCGGTAGATCTCCTCTCAGAGAGCCAACTACTTGTCCTACCATACCCGACCAGCTGCTTTCGATCTCTGCTACTATAGACTGAAATATTAATAAAAATAAAACACAAATATGATACCGAAGAAAACATGCGTTATGAAAGATTGCTAAGCTTGTACCGAGATAATAGGAATATCCCCATGCTTCATTCCCAATTGACGAGCATATTGAGACAATTCCAATGCTTCGTTATATTGATTACTTCTCAGACACGATTCCATTAATTGGGGCATCTCAAGAATTTCAAGTAGCTCTGCATTTCGTGTTAGTGTTAAGCTATTTAATCTTCGATGTGCATTAATATCTTTTGAAGTATCACAAAACGATTGGCATTTCCTCACAAATTCTGGAATCTTTTGTACAAGTTTGTCAAGACGATTTTCAGTCTCATTGAACTAAAAGTAAAATAATATAATTTGTTAATCTCTTTAGACAGATCTATATATATATATATATATACTTTAACTTAATATTTTTTTAAATTACATGATTGAGTATCTCTCGTGAACTTTCTGCTGTCTGAATAAAAGTTTTATAATTTGCAAAGACTAATTTCTGTGTAGTTTGAAGCACTGCGTTTTTCTCATCAGACAAATGATCAGGTTCTTTACCTAAAAATTTTTCATGCAGGATGAATCTGTATCTCATTGATGTATAAAGCAAAATTTAGATAGATAAGCCAGATAATAAAGGTGTTCGTACTTAGCTGATCTACATCAAAGCCTCCAAGTTTTGAGAGATACTGATAAAAATTGGGATTTTCTTTCCAAGATTCTGAAATCGTAGTTGCATAAAACGATACAAATGTACTACAATAAAAGCAATAATATGCGTTAAAACAATTAATTTAAAAATAACATAATTAATCTTACCTGAGATACCTTCCGGAAATATCAGATTTATCACATTCTCCGTTTCAATATCCATGATCCTTTTAACAAATGTATAATATCGGTTGTTAAAGCATTTGTGTTAATGCAAAATATTATTTTTCAGCGAATTGTTGAGACAAGTGGCAGATATCAGCAAGGTACTTTTCTTCGATTCGATTTCGATATGCCAATAATATGTAAATATGTAATTTAATGGCTCCTTTTATAACCTTACATAATTATCGTAAAAGACTTTTATCGATCTAGATTATAAAAAATAATTTCTTTATATTTCGATTAAACTTTGCGCGATTATAAAAATTTTATTACGAAAGTTCTCAATGCAACGACACGTCGCAGAATCGCAAACCAACGCAAACGTCATCTTCAGCCGTTATAGAAAGCCTTTAAGCACGAGCAATCAGCTGATCGACTGGAGGAAATTTACCAACCAAAAGTCGGCGTGACAATTCGACGACTGAATTCAATTAAATCTATGAATTAAAAGTTTTCTTTTAATTCATTAGTCTAATTATTTTATCGCACGGGAAATGGCTTTAAATCTGATCAAACAGGTATTTTTGCGATCGACTTATTAATAATTTTTATACACTAAGTAAATAACTTGAAGCATATACATTTATATTGAACATTTATCTATTTTATTACGCATAATTGAGTTGTTTAATGATTGCTTTTATTCTAGATTGCAGTGCTTGGACAACGTTCACTCGCAACAAAAACTTTATCGGCAAAATTTTATACTGGAAGTCTGTACGAGCCAGATTATTTAGAGGTTAGATCTAAACTTCTAGGTATTTGAAGCATACATAACGTTTTGTTAGTTTTTCGATTTTTACAGACAGGAAAATCAGAATTTCCGCTTTTATCCACGATAAATGTACAAATTAAAAGTTATGATTATCCTGTGCTCGAATGTTATCAGTCTTTCATACACAAATTAGCGGATATTGTACAAATCGACGTAGACAACAGGTAAATTTGCATTAAATTTTCTTAATTTTACTCTTCAATTTTTAATACAATCCGTATTCTTCTGTTCAGCTGGCCTTTACCACCTCAAGAATTCACGATTCGGAAGTATAAAACTAGAACGACAACAATTATGTCCGAGTATTATCTCAAAATTTATGAAAGAAATATACAACTATCAGACGTATCGTCAATAAAATGCTCAGTATTAATTAGAGCATTAGAGGCAGCTTTACCACAAGGTGTTACTTTGAATATAAACATTCATGATCCCGCACTAGAAGATAAGCGATATATACCAGACAAAGAATTGATTGATTTGAAATCAACGCTAATTACATTAAAGAATAATAAATCTTAAATATATGTTGTGATTAATATATTATTTGTAAGTGCAAATAACACTTGTATATTATTGTTACAAAAATAGCATCTCTTTCCAAGCATGGTAAATTTTAAAAATAGTAAAAACTTGAGAAAATTATACACAAAATTAATGATGAAAAGTTTTTGTTAACTTTTCTATGAGAAAGTTATACAATATATACAAAAATAATTTATAAAAATAGTTCAATAAACTATTTCACAATATTCTTATTATCAATCTTAACTCTAAATTAAAATTAGATTAAACTTGGGGGAGTCCGGGAGACGATCATATGAGAGAGTTGAACTACTTCAAATTTCATGCCAAGTGCACGGTTATCAAGCCGGCAACTATTTGTCACGTTTCGAGAAATGTGAAATCAAAATGGCATGATCCATATATTGCGGTTTGACTGTTTGGCCTGAAATTTGAATGAGATATTTGAAATGGTTCAACTTTGCCATATAGTCAAGTCTCCCGGATTTTCCCTAATTATTTTTTATTATAAATAACGTCGAATCTATTTTTTGTTTATTATTCTTCTAGCGCTTTCTCCCTGTTTACGCGCTTGCGCGTATATGATTCATATTTCTTTTAAAATATTTGTTTACAATAAACCAAAATGCACGACTTTGATCTTTGTACTGTCATCAGTCTTCGAAGATTCTTTTATTTTTTCGTCAGCATTATCTTCTGCAAAATATCAAAGATTAATATTGGACAAAGTCGTGTTATTCACAATTGTGTTGTAAAGCTTCTTACATATACAAAACAGATGTACTAATGTAAAATGCTTACTACACAATGGTTGAAAATCTTTAAGGTAATCTTCATTACCCAGACAAAGTGGAAGACTTTCAGCTAGTTCACGTTTAGGATCCGTTATATGTGTTTGTGTAGTAGATCGTTTCTGTCTATATACTTGAGTCTGTAAGAAAAATTTTATATGTATATATACATATATATATATATACACATATACGTACATACATATATCTTTAAAATTACTTACTGTCCCAGGTACTAGTATATGAGTGACAGTGTCTGAAAACTTCACCTTTGGCTTTTCATTAGAAAGAGAACTTGATATGTCGGCAAACGATGGACACGTAGAACAAACCTTTGAATTAGCGATAGACGTATTAATTACAGGCAGAGGTGGTATGTTAGAAAACATTTTAGTTTCTCTATTAACAGTTTGGGAAGATCTTGACGAGTGTCTATTCTCAAATAATCCATGTTGTATACTGTAACTAGGATGAAAGTTTCGCGAGGAAAATTTGCTAACTGTTTGTGAAAGTTCTAAGTCTGTATCGTCGCGAGAACCCTGAAACGGTATATAATCTAGATCGTAATTGTATCTATATGTTTTGAAAGATAGAGATGTTTTCTGATTTTCAGGTATATTAGATGTTGTGGAATTCTGTTTTTGTAAAATGCACAACGGCATATGGGTTTTATTCGTTGTAAATTTCTCCAATTCTTTAACATTTGGCAAACCTTGAGTGCTCCTAGATAAAAGATAATTTTTTCTAGGTAAACCATGAAGGCAATTAGAGAAAGAACTTATCAGAGAAGGTGATGATGGAACAGCATTTGTTTCTTTTTCTTCCGTTACAGGATATTGTAATTTAACGGCTTGATCGTTGACATTATTAAACGCGTTGGGAAATGTAATATCGTTACTTTCAAGAGTTGTATATCCTTCAAGATTATTAAACGAAGTAGACATCAGATTGTTACAACTATTATTCGAAAGAGGCGATTGATCCGTTACATGAGTATTATCGATAAGAGTTTTAGTTAATGATTTATCAGATATCTTTGAAGATTTGCCTCGTAACATAAAAGTTGTTTCAGAATTATTGTTCGCTGTTAGTGCATTGACTGAGTTACTATGCGAGATAGGAGTGTTAGCGATTCGAGTACCGAATGACGTTGACATAACATTATTGTCAATGACGTTTAAGCAACTCGTCAAATAATTATTAGAATGAATGTCTTCCGATTCATATATTGGCTTATTGAAAGAAGTAGAGATAAAACTATCGTCTTGCGCGCAAGTTGTTATTACGTTAGTAGTGGAACTACTAAAAGAATATGATATTTCATTAAGTAACGATTGATCGTACGATCTCTCGTTGAAATTATTGCTAGACTGATCATTCACTATTATGTCCGATTCATTGAGAGAAATACTACCGAATGAGGTGGTCATCAAGTCGTCTGATGCATTGTTAAATACTTGAGAACTATTAATGATATTCGCCGCGCTAATTGGTGTAAAGTTTGAGTGTGTACTGTATAATGATTTATTAAAAGAAGTTGATGATAAAAATGGGCTCGAAATGTGTGAAGAATGATTAAACGAAGTTGTTAAAATATTATTGGAAGTGTCAAAGGACGAAGGTACTAAGATGTAGTCAGTCTTAATAGTGGACGGAATATTATTATATGATGCGCAAAGTGTATTCTTTGCGGTATGATGAGGATGGACAACTGGTAAGGGTGGGATTTGATTTGAACCGGAAGCTTTTCTGTAACGATGCTTTCGCGATCGTTTCAGATTAAGTCGTTTTTCTTTTTGAGAATCTTCGCTCTCTTCACTGTATGTTGCTTCTATCTGCTCTTCCTCCTCTTCCTCCTCTTCCTCCTCCCCTTCATCCTCCTCCTTCTCCTCTTCCTCCTCTTCCTCTTCTTCTTCCTCCTCTTCTTCCTCCTCTACCTCCACATTCTTTTCCTCTTCCTCCTCTTCCTTCTCATTGCTTGAATCGGAACATATAGAACACGATGTTCTCGAACATGTGGAATCTATAAAAATTTATTTATTTAAATAGGTACAAGATATATTAAAGTCTTTACAAGCCCGTCTCCAAAGATTTGTCAATTCTTACGTGAAGCACTGCAACTGTTCGATCTGCTTAGAATACTCTCAGCTTTCTCTTTGGCTGCAGTTGCCAGTTCCATATCATTCAAAACCGTAGCGTAGAAATGTATGTCCATAAAAAGATCGTGATCATTTAGATCAATAGCTAGTCGAAAAGCCTTCTCAAACATCTTATACCTACAAAGATCATAATGATTAGAATAAATTAAATTTTAAATTCCCTTCATATAATGCACTACCTTAATAAATGATGGAAAAATCTCCTCGTCAAATCTCTTACTTCATCCCCATATTCTTCTTCGACAGTTTGGCTTATTGGTTTAATAGGTATGTGGAAACTGCCTAACGCATTTTGTATCAGACCTATTAAATCAGATTAATAAATTAGAATAAGATTATTTTTTTTAATCATTAGTAAGTAATCTCTTAATTAAACATCAGATTAGAAAAACAAAATTTTATTTTACCTTCGCGTTCCGTTGTTAACGGTAACTTAAATAAATAGTTTAAGATTTGATTAAGCGAATGCATGCATACACGTGGATGCGTATCCCAATTCATCGACAACAGCAAGGAAGTCGCTTGTTCTGCTCGAGACTCCGACAAATACCTTCTGACTAATTCATCCCCGGAGAGAGTATCCCCTTCGATCATTTTAATAACTCCAATCGGTCCTCTAAGAATACAGAATAAATTGTCACATACCAATCAATATCGAACATATGTTGCTCGATAAAAGAAATGGTAGCCCTTACCGTTCGAAAAGTAATAAGAATAAAGAATTGCCATTGTTGTAATAACGTATTTGATTTGGATCACTTTTCTTGTTCCATTCCATATGCAGCAAAGCATGCTGATTCCTGTGTTGTGTATTATTATTTTATTAATCCAATTTTATGGCCATATCTTACCGATTAATTATTTCATTGTTCGTACTTAAAATATGATGATAAGTCGAGAATATTCGCTGGCACTGCCTCGTCGCTTAATGTCTGGCTTTTGATACACATTAAAGTAATATCAAAATATTGAAACTGGCCTCTATCATTACCCACCACAAATATTATACCATCGCTGTGCCAAGCGGCTAAAGTAGGTATCTTAAGGGGAAAAAATGAAGAAAATCACATATCAATCCTTTTAAAATGCATCTTTTCATAATATTTATATTGTATATCGCTATACATATATATGAAAAGTTATTGTACATTTATATATTAATAAAACTTACAAAAGCGGCTTTTACACTGATACTTGTCGATTTGATCTGATCATACATCATAATAGTACCGTCGATGCAACATAAAAGTAATAGTTCCTGATTAGGTGAAAATCTCACACAACTTGTATGCGTTGGCAATGATACGGAAATCACAGCGATCCTTTTTAATTTATTTTGTCGAGAAACTTCATATGTACGCCATTCTACGGTAACTTCTCCCTATATATTAAGATATCCAAATTTACAAATATATATATATATATATAACTTATATTTCTTTTTAATATACAAAATTTAATTAATATATGAAAGCATATTTAATATATTAAATTTGCATTAAATACAGAATGATGAGATGTAATTACCTTCCGTGAAACTTTTTGTTCTACAGAATGAATAATATTGTCATCGCATGCATCAAACATAATACACAAGGGATCAAATTCAGTACGTATATAACATAACAATTCTAACTTTGTTCTGAAAACATGAATGATTAAATTCTTTCATTTTTATGTACATACATATCACCATAACAGTGTTTGTACATACATACATTCATACAGGGACGTCAGCGACTGTACAAGTGTTTGTAATTGATTTACATAGCAACAAGCATAGTGACACATAACTAACCATGCTTTATAGAAAGAATTGTAATAGCAAACACAAGTACAATTAAAATTCATACGTATTAAAATTATAAAATCACGAGAATTATATAAAAATGTCTCAGCACTGGCATGGCCATTGGACAGAAGATGCATTTGCTCCAAAAAGATTGCGAAATTGGGAAGTTCCTAAATGGTATCCTAGTTGGCCAGACAGACATTGTGTCACTACGAAATTTATTGCAGATAATAATGGACGTATGTTAGACAATGCCAAAAGAGTTGGACATTCACCATGGGGAACATTTAAAGTTTGTATAAATTAATGTTACGTACACAAGTTGTTTAAAAAGAAACCAAACTTTTGCTCTAAAAATGGCACTAGTCGCACCATTAAGTTATAACGGGTAGAATTTAATATTTTAAACATTATATTATCAATATTTAAGTTATTAAAACAAGAAATTTAAATATCTCGGTAAAAGCTTTCTTTAGTTTCACGCAGAACTTAATGCTGGCGTATTGCTCCATCGTGATTTTCTGACAAGGATTACGAAACAACCGTTGCATTTTATGTCACACAAAGGATTGTTATATTGTTATGAATCGTTTCAAATGCTATTGTACACGATCGATAATATAATGTTTAAAATATTCTGCCTGTTACAACTTAATGTCGCAATTAGTACCATTTCTAGAGCAAAAGTTCGGTTTCTTTTTAGACAACCTGTGTATGTAGTAAAAATTTAAGAATCTAAATTATTTTAAATTAAATCAATATTATCATAAGTTACTCTCTCCAAATTTATATATGCAATATTTAAAGATTATAATACAAAAATATCATATTGTAAACAAAGGGCACTTGGGATTTGCCAAAGAAAATTACTGCAAGCATTGCTAAAGAATTATCAATATCGCCTCAATATAAAAAAGATTTATGGGAACAGCACAAGAAGAAACATGAGAATTTATGTAAAACGGTAAAACACGCAAACAAGAATGGGAATAAGGAAATCAACAAACCATAAAAAGATAACAACAAAGAGTTAAAATGAATAAAAATACATATATACACGCAAAGAATGTCACATAAAAGGATGAGAAGGATAAAAGAAGTCACATAACTATATTGATCTCATACCCTGTAAGCCGAAAGAGATGCATGTTTGCTCGATGATATTGTTTCATAGCAGGACTCCAAGGATAAACTTCGTTCATTGTAGATTTTCGCCAAATTAATATCTGCAAAGACACATTATTTCTTATAGATTAACTGTAATATTTTCGACTTAGTTTTAAAAAACTACCTAAAAGCAATTTACCAAATTAGCAGACTTGTTTACTTCAATCTTCTTATCCAATCTGCGTCCATTAGGTTTAAATACATCTGTTGTGACTAATTTAGGTTCTAACTTGCTCATCTTATCAAAAATATGCGTTTTAGATTTTGTAAAATATACCAGAGTCACTAGATTATCGTTGTATGTACAAACCAAATGACTTTTGGTAATAATTACTGTAAATAAAGCAAAATATTATCTTTTGTGCATAATATAAATAGTTTCTGGTGACAAAAATAATAGGCAATTACCATCAGATATATGTTCAGATAACTTTCCTATAAGATATTTGTCGAAATTGATTTCTTGTACATCACCACTGAAGAGACAAACTTGTATTTGCACCAATAAGCCATTGCTAAGCATTAATTGTGCAACAGAATCATCATACCATTGAGAATAAATTACAGAATTATCTCTGAGTTGACTCTAGATATGATAATAACAATTCTATAATATATGCTCTTTAAATAATTCGATCAGGAAAGATAGAATGATTTATTATACCTCTAAGTATTTAATAGAATGTTTTAATTTATTTCCCTTTTTGTTTTCTGGGACGTAAGTCATTCCACGTTCTTGACAATATGATCTTTTGCCTTCTTCATACGTACCATCAATACGTTTATCGTGATATCTAAAAAAAATCAGGAACAAATAAATTGCTATAATAGTAATAGTGGAATCTGAAAATGAATCATATGATGTTGTTTTTTACTTAAATGCACCAAAATCCGTGACCTCTATGTTTACATTGTCATCAAAAGTCCAGAAGTTTACTTCTCCCGTTAACGCAAACATTATAAAGTGTACTAATATTAAATATACAAAATATTATGGAGAATATCACGCGAAGCACTCAAATTTGTATGTAAATAATAATACACAATTACGAAAAGTCACATTCGCACAACTCCATGAAAATTCACAGTTTATCTACTTCTATCTATAATCGGCATCATTAATGTCTTTCACTTCCGGTTTGAGACCGGAACACAGATTTTAGATTTGTCGCGTCGTATGCTCCAACATGTTCTAATATGCTCCTACCATAGCTCTTAAGCTGATTCTACATTGATCGCATCGCA